ACAAATCATCACCTACCTAGAACAAACGATCTGGAAAATAAATAATCTAACGAATATAAACCAACTATTAGACTGAGACTGTTTTATTACAATTCCTAAAATATGTGCTATCTTTGATCAAAACTGTAATATTAACAATATGAATATAAGTAATAGAATAAGAATGTAACTAATATATTTTAACCTATCCAATACACCAAAATTGATTTCACATCAATTCCTATAATTTATCTATAATCAGATATTCCATTATAAAACTCTCACTACTAGAAATATTAATTTTATAGCTTTAACAAAATTGTTTTTCGTTACTAAAATTTATTATATTAAAATGATCTACTTGATTATTCAAATATTAACATAACCTTGTAACAATAAAATAAAAAAAGATGATAATCTTGGAAAGTAGTGGTGTTTGTATTTAATACAGTCATGACTTAACTTATTAGTAAATTGGATCTCTGGTTTATTAAAAACCTATGAAAATAATGCACATAATTATATGATGTATTATTGATGAGCATGAGCGCCCGTAGTCATTGGATATATAGTAAACATTCTCAATATTATATTAGATAGATATAGTATACAAAATTATAATAAAGTTCTTCGGTTTGTTTATTTATAAAAGGTGAACAAGGGGAGAAACATGATATGAAAAAAGCTGGCTTTATATATTTTCATATCTCCTCTATCTCGTCTATGTACGGCACCAAATTTATGATCAGGTTTGTTTACGTCTGCTGACAAGCAAACAGTACGTTCTCCACTTTTTCCTATCAATTAATGTTTACTAAAATCTAATTGGTCTATTATTAATTCTAGAAAGTTCAATTTCAGCAGTAAGTGTTCATATATGGTTAATATTCATATTGTAATATATATTACTTGAGATAATTTCTTACAAACCGGTGCTAAAACATATACACTAATATTATTTATACCGAGAAAAAAGAACAGCCTTCCTTTGTTACTTTTGAAATAATAAAAAACGCACCGATAAATTAATATAAAATATGTATTACAAGAGTAGATATTGGGGTATAGACAAATACTATTATATATAATACATATGTATATTGTTTAAAAATTAACTAAACCATGAATAGAAATAAGGAGAAAAGCACTAAGATAAAATTTGACCGTGTACCAGCAGTATCAGGAGCAGAAGCTTCGTATTGTGACAAGGTTATGGCACTTAATCTGCTACTTGGACTTGCACTTTGAGAAGATACGTGTAGTTGCTCTGGTGCAACAGTAATTTGTTGACTATTCATGATACTTGAAGTAGATGAACCTGAAGTTTCATAACGTGATAATGTTACTGTATTTGATCTGCCACTTGGATTTGCCCTTTGAGAAGATACCTGTAATGGCTCTTGAGTTGCAGTAACCTTTGGAGTATTCATGATTGCCTCAGTTGAAGAACCTGCTTGATCTTCAACCCCGTTTCTTCTGGACGATGATTCACTCTTCATAGTATTCCAACTGTTAACACTAAATGTAGGAGCAGAAGCTTTATATTGTGACAAGGTTTTGGCACTTAATCTACTACTTGGACTTGCACTTTGAGAAGATACGTGTAGTTGCTCTGGTGCAACAGTAATTTGTTGACTATTCATGATACTTGAAGTAGATGAACCTGAAGTTTCATAACGTGATAATGTTACTGTACTCGATCTGCCACTCGACTCTGTGGTTTGAGAAGATACGTGTAGTTGCTCTGGTGCAACAGTAATTTGTTGACTATTCATGATACTTGAAGTAGATGAACCTGAAGTTTCATAACGTGATAATGTTACTATACTTAATCTACTGCTTGGACTTGCACTTTGAGAAGATACGTGTAGTTGCTCTTGAGTTGCAGTAACCTTTGGAGTATATGTGATTGCCTCAGTTGAAGAACCTGTTTTACTTTCAACCCCGTTTCTTCTGGACGATGATTCACTCTTCATAGTACTCCAACTGTTAACACCAGAAGTTTCTATGTTTCCTGTAGTTGCAGTGTTCTCGTTAGAGGACCTTGACCTGTCAGAAACTGCTGAAGAGAATGATGATTCAATTGTCCTAGTGTTCCAATTATTGGCATTAGATGCTTCAGCATTTGTTGTCCTTCTAATGCTTTCCTTTGAATATTTCGAAATTGAACTGTATGACCTTGACAATTTTGTGGAAACTACTGAAGAATTCCAATAGTGATATCCCAAACTTGTACTAGTGACTGTTGGGGTACCAACAATTACAACACCGATTGGAGTGCTGCTGCCGTCAGAATTGGTAGTGTAGAAGATGGAGGTGGTGATGATAGAGGTTGAGCGACCAGTGGCCGCAACAAAAGAAGTGATCTGACTTGGCCTTGGAGTCTCAACAATCACAATGTCAACTGGAGTGCTGCTGCCATCAGAGTTGGTAGTGTAGGAGGTGGAGGTGAAGGTGACAGTGGATGAAAGACCGGTGGCTGCAACATAAGAAGTGATAGCGCTTGGCATTGGGGTTTCGACAATCACAATGTCTACTGGAGTGCTGCTGCCGTCAGAGTTGGTAGTGTAGGAGGTGGAGGTGAAGGTGACAGTGGATGAAAGACCGGTGGCTGCAACATAAGAAGTGATAGCGCTTGGCATTGGGGTTTCGACAATCACAATGTCAACTGGAGTGCTGCTGCCGTCAGAGTTGGTAGTGTAGGAGGTGGAGGTGAAGGTGACAGTGGATGAAAGACCGGTGGCTGCAACATAAGAAGTGATAGCGCTTGGCATTGGGGTTTCGACAATCACAATGTCTACTGGAGTGCTGCTGCCGTCAGAGTTGGTAGTGTAGGAGGTGGAGGTGAAGGTGACAGTGGATGAAAGACCGGTGGCTGCAACAAAAGAAGTGATCTGACTTGGCCTTGGGGTTTCGACAATCACAATGTCAACTGGAGTGCTGCTGCCTTTAGAGTTGGTAGTGTAGGAGGTGGAGGTAAACATGATAGAAGCTGAACCAACCATGCCTGGAACATATTTCGTGATAGCGCTTGGCATTGGGGTTTCGACAATCACAATGTCAACTGGAGTGCTGCTGCCGTCAGAGTTGGTAGTGTAGGAGGTGGAGGTGAAGGTGACAGTGGATGAAAGACCGGTGGCTGCAACATAAGAAGTGATAGCGCTTGGCATTGGGGTTTCGACAATCACAATGTCAACTGGAGTGCTGCTGCCGTCAGAGTTGGTAGTGTAGGAGGTGGAGGTGAAGGTGACAGTGGATGAAAGACCGGTGGCTGCAACAAAAGAAGTGATCTGACTTGGCCTTGGGGTTTCGACAATCACAATGTCAACTGGAGTGCTGCTGCCGTTAGAGTTGGTAGTGTAGGAGGTGGAGGTAAACATAATAGAAGCTGAACCAACCATGCCTGGAACATATTTCGTGATAGCGCTTGGCATTGGGGTTTCGACAATCACAATGTCTACTGGAGTGCTGCTGCCGTCAGAGTTGGTAGTGTAGGAGGTGGAGGTGAAGGTGACAGTGGATGAAAGACCGGTGGCTGCAACATAAGAAGTGATAGCGCTTGGCATTGGGGTTTCGACAATCACAATGTCTACTGGAGTGCTGCTGCCGTCAGAGTTGGTAGTGTAGGAGGTGGAGGTGAAGGTGACAGTGGATGAAAGACCGGTGGCTGCAACAAAAGAAGTGATCTGACTTGGCCTTGGGGTTTCGACAATCACAATGTCAACTGGAGTGCTGCTGCCTTCAGAGTTGGTAGTGTAGGAGGTGGAGGTAAACATGATAGAAGCTGAACCAACCATGCCTGGAACATATTTCGTGATAGCGCTTGGCATTGGGGTTTCGACAATCACAATGTCTACTGGAGTGCTGCTGCCGTCAGAGTTGGTAGTGTAGGAGGTGGAGGTGAAGGTGACAGTGGATGAAAGACCGGTGGCTGCAACATAAGAAGTGATAGCGCTTGGCATTGGGGTTTCGACAATCACAATGTCTACTGGAGTGCTGCTGCCGTCAGAGTTGGTAGTGTAGGAGGTGGAGGTGAAGGTGACAGTGGATGAAAGATCCGTAGCTGCAACATAGGAAGTGATCTGACTTGGCTTTGGGGTTTGAACAATCACGACAATAACTGGAGTACTGCTGCCCATGGAATTGGTAGTATACATAGTGCTGGTGAATGTACTTGGCATTGGGGTTTCAACAATCACAACACCAATATGAGTGCTGCTGCCGTTGTAGTTGGTGGTGTACAAGGTGGAGGTGGATAGAACAGAAGCAGAACCAACCATGCCTGGAACATAGGAAGTAATGACACTTGGCATTGGGGTCTCAACAATCACAACACCAATATGAGTGCTGCTGCCGTTGTAGTTGGTGGTGTACAGGGTGGAGGTGGATAGAACAGAAGCAGAGCCAACCATGCCTGGAACATAGGAAGTAATGACACTTGGCATTGGGGTTTCAACAATCACAACACCAATATGAGTGCTGCTGCCGTTGTAGTTGGTGGTGTACAGGGTGGAGGTGGATAGAACAGAAGCAGAGCCAACCATGCCTGGAACATAGGAAGTAATGACACTTGGCATTGGGGTTTCAACAATCACAACACCAATATGAGTGCTGCTGCCGTTGTAGTTGGTGGTGTACAGGGTGGAGGTGGATAGCACAGAAGCAGAGCCAACCATGCCTGGAACATAGGAAGTAATGACACTTGGCATTGGGGTTTCAACAATCACAACACCAATGTGAGTGCTGCTGCCGTTGTAGTTGGTGGTGTACAGGGTGGAGGTGGATAGCACAGAAGCAGAACCAACCATGCCTGGAACATAGGAGGTGATCACAGATGGCATTGGGGTTTCAACAATCACAACACCAATGTGGGTGCTGCTGCCGTTGTAGTTGGTGGTGTACAGGGTGGAGGTGGATAGCACAGAAGCAGAGCCAACCATGCCTGGAACATAGGAGGTGATCACAGATGGCATTGGGGTCTCAACAATCACAACACCAATGTGGGTGCTGCTGCCGTTGTAGTTGGTGGTGTACAGGGTGGAGGTGGATAGCACAGAAGCAGAACCAACCATGCCTGGAACATAGGAGGTGATCATGCTTGGAGCATGCGAGATCAGAGCGGTTGGCATTGGTGTTTCTACAATCACAATGTCAATGTGGGTGCTGCTACCCTTGGAGTTCGTAGTGTAAGATGTGAGGGTGAAGAGAACATCAGTCGAATCAATCATACCTGCAACGAATGATGTAATTACACTTGCCATTGGGGTCTTAACGCTTACATCGTCCATTGGAGTGCTGCTGCCCCTGGGGTTGGTGGTGGAGTCATCAGAGGCAGATCCAATCATCGTTGGAGCATGTGAGATCATAGCAGTTGGCATTGGAGTTTCAACAATCACTATGTCAATTGGAGTGCTGCTACCCTTGGAGTTGGTGGTGTAGGAAGTGAGAGTGAATAGAGCAACGGTTGAATCAATCATGCCTGCAACATAGGACGTGATCGCACTTGGTATTGGGGTGACTACTACAACAACAACTTCTGGAGAGGAGGAACCGTTGCTGTCAACCACTGTAGTGGTATAGGTGGTTGTGGTTGGGGCAGAAATGCTTGCAGCAGTAGTAGTGTAGGTTGTGGATGGGGATGGGGTGATCACTACCACAACAACCTCTGGAGAAGATGAACCGTCGCCGTCAACAAGTGTGGTGGTGTAGGTGGTTGTGGTTAGAGCTGTAATATCAGCAGTAGTAGTAGTGTAGGTGGTAGATGGAGATGGAGTGATCACAACAACAACAACCTCTGGAGATGAAGAGCCATTGCTATCAGTGACAGTGGTTGTGTAGGTGGTTGTGGTTGGAGCAGAAATATCAGTAGTAGTAGTAGTGTAGGTGGTAGATGGAGATGGAGTAATCACAACAACAACAACTTCTGGAGATGAAGAGCCGTTACTGTCTGTGATAGTAGTGGTGTAAGTAGTTGTAGTTGGGGTAGAAATATCCGCAGTAGTAGTAGTGTAGGAGGTAGATAGCGATGGGGTGATCACTTCCACAACAACCTCTGGAGTTGAAGAGCCGTTGCTGTCAGTGATAGTAGTGGTGTAGGTGGTTGTACTTGGAACTGTGACATTTGCAGTAGTAGTAGTGTAGGTGGTAGATGGCGATGGGGTGATCACTTCAACAACAACCTCCGGAGAAGACGAACCATCGTGGTCAATTACTGTAGTATACGTGGTTGTGGTTGGAACTGTGACATCTGCAGTAGTGGTAGTGTAGGAGGTGGATGGAGAAGGTGTGATCACTACCACAACAACCTCTGGAGAAGATCCACCGAACTCGCCAACAACTGTGGTGGTGTAGGTGGTTGTGGTTGGAGCAGAAACTGGACCTGTACTAGTAGTGTAGGCAGTGGCTGGAGATGGGGTGATCACGACAACAACAACCTCTGGAGAGGAAGAGCCATTGCTGTCAGTGGTAGTAGTGGTGTAAGTAGTAGTTGTTAGGAAAACAACTTCACTTGTAGTAGTAGTGTAGGTGGTGGATGGTGGTGGCTCAATCACTTTTACTATAGCCATATTAGTCTGCCAAGTAATAGTATACTCATTGTCGTAGTCGTAGACTGTACTATAAGAAGTGGTTGTAGTTGGAGCCGTGACATCTCCAGTAGTAGTGGTGTAGAAAGTCTCTGGCCACGGCCTAAATACGTTCATACCTATGGCTACAGATGTAATACCGTTGCTCTGAGACACGACATGCTGTCCACGTTCGTGTAGGTACCCCATGGAAATCCCCATATATGTATGATATGTTGTTTGCATTGGCTGATTAACAACTGTAATAATGCTTACCTGTGCGTCGTCGTTATTCAACCAATCTGTCGTAGTGATGGTGGTAACAGCGCTTTCTGTGGGCAAGTCTCGAAGATAAGATTGAACAGACAGGGTATACGCAGTATTCAAAATGGTTGTGAAAGGATGACTAATGGAAACTGGGGAACAAAGCTCCCCCTCATCAGCATCATCATCTACCTGCGAGAACACAGCGCCAGCTAAACTAGTGACAACCATACCACCAGGTAGATGGATAGCCATTCTAATGGCACCTCTGCCTTGCGCGTTAACATAGATGGCCTTAAATGGATAGGCATGCCCGCGCTCCAGATACACCTTGTGATTAGCCCCGCCTAACACACCACCATTAGCCACAGTAAGCACGAACATAGGATCGCCAGAGGTGAAGGAGCCTGTTTGGTTACAGCAATCAAAGGCCGAACCAGCACCAAGGAAAAAAGCGGCATAATCAGCCACCTCTAGCGCCATGTAGTACACACCACTCATTGGGGCAACGAAGTAACCAGTGGCCACCATCAGAAAGTTTGAGGCAGGAACTCCCGTATAACCGTATGGGGGCACAGTTGCAGGCCAACCGGAATCCCAGTTAAGATCTTCGACACCTGTTATTTCACCGACATAAGGACAACCAAAAGTACAATGCAGATAACCACCGTTGGCAAAATCTGCACTATTGTAGTCTACAATATCACCTTCTGGATATTCGTAGAATCGGATAGTAGCACCCGGCCGAACGTTTTTTGGAAGAACACATGCATCCGGGGTGATATTACCAGCGAACGAAACATGAAAAACCGTAAAAAGCAATAGAATGGAGAGAAACTTTCTAGTGATTGAACGTATATCACTGTGCATTTTGAATGAATGTCTTGGTTGTGAGAAAAAGATTTGTGTACTTTTTCCCTGGGTTGAGCAAAGATACTTTAAGAGACTTATTACTTGATCAAACTTTTAATTTTACCTGTGTTTAATGCTCTTGGAGCTGTAGTGTTTTATTCATAGCAAGAGGGAGGAAAGGGAATAATTTACAAAAAAAGATAGTTAAACCATATAGCACTTATTTTTATATCTTTAGAAATATGAACGATCTTACCAAAAATATCAAGACATTGATAAAAAAACATATCACAATATTTGTAACAAAAAAATTGTAGATTGAATTAAAAGTATTGTTTTCTTAGTCATAACAATAAAAAAGACAAATTTTCTTACAAAAAATATGATAACGGTTCATAACAATTAACATTCTCGAGATCAAGGAGACATGCCCTTGTTGAGATAAAAAGAAAAAAACAAAAGAGCTTAGTATAATAAACAAATTCAGGGAAAAGCACTTGATTTTTAAGATTCTTGGTCATTGAAAATGTTTATTGGTAATAATACTTTATAATGAGATAAGAGAATGTACGTCATCTCTTTGCTAAAAAACTAATGGAAAAAAGGACAACTACGCAATGCATGTCCTATTGTCGCACAAGAATATCCCGATTTGGATAAGATTTGTTTAGCAGTTCCTCCAGAGCTGTAAAAAACACTTTCAAAGTTGGGCTATTTTGGAATTTTTTTTCTGCTCTGGAAACAATAGAAATAAAACAGTATTTTCGGTAAATACAGCAAGAGAATGAAAAGTTTTTCCTGTTAAGACATGCAAAAAAAAGAAACGAAAGGAAAAGGGGCAAGGAAAAAATAGAGTTTCCAAAAAGTGCTTTTATCTTCTATAGTTTTCCAAAAACTTGCCAAAGAGCAGCGTAACAAATAATGGTATAATAGAATAAAATAAAACGACAAATAATAAAAGAATAAAAATGACGGAAACAATGAAAGAAAATAGTACCAGTAATTGTTGCCCAAAAAAATTGGTGTATCTCTCTTACTTGTTGCATATACATAATATCGGCAAATAACTTCAGAGGAATACATTACTTTTGGAATGTTAGATTGAGTAATGTTATTTTTAGAAAAACATAAGATCCGCGATTGAATAATGAGTTTTTTTTGACCTATCAAGAATTTTTTTAAAATTTCCTCGTTTAAATGTTCTTAAAATAAGTTAAATCTAATCAAAAGATACGGCAAAGAAACAATCTCATTATTTTTTTGAACTATATGTTATGCTAGTCAACAATAGGAAGCAGATAATGGACATAATATCTAAAATTATTTTCCTACAGCGTATGTATTTTTAATAAAATAATAAAAGCAAGATTACTATTTTAAAATTGCAATCCTCAAAAATTCTTGAACATACATAAAAAATATGTCTTTCAAGAAAAATTTTCGAAGATGAAACGAGAAATTTACTACAAGAAATTTTAAGTCTTTTGTTTTTGGCTTTCTTTTTTTTGCTTATTTGTCTGTTTCAGATTTCCTTTCTAGTACATTCCCCCAACAAATTTGGAAAAACAAAGGAACCCCTTTTATTATGATCTGAAAATTTACAGTAAAAAAGTCGTTTTTAAAAAAGTAGATGATGATTTTTTCAGAGAATTTTTTTTGTTTTTCTTTTAAAAAATTTTTCAATTTTCCGTGAACGACATCATCCAGAGGTAGACAAAAGTTATGCACGGTTTATTTGATGTCATATGTATTGTTCTTTTTGAGTAGAGATTTTGATCGTTCCCTACAACCGGTTCATATGATTATTGAATACAAAAGCATCTTTCAATTGAGGTATAATAATATCGTACTATTTTTTACTATTAACATGCACTTACAACCAATTAGCACGGCACAATTGTATATTGGAACAACTGAATTAGAGTTTAAAGACAATCGGATTTTTTGTATTGAATTTAGGTGATGAAAAAAATTTTATCATGGAACTATTGTTATATCAATATGTCTGGTGATGTCAAGTTTCAGTATCAAACACTTTAATATTTTTATTACAAGCCAATAAGACATTGACAATATCATAGGTTATCAACTATTTATAGAATGTTATTGGCACTATAAATATATCTTATTAGTGAAAATTAAGGGGTGTTACCTCAATTCCTCATACTGTTAAAAATAAAATACTGGTAATTTACTCCCGACATCAACAATTACCACGTTTCTTTTTCATCTTAGAATTACTCTGGCCACTTCTTGCTCTTGCTTTACTTCTTCTACCATTCAAACTCTTTTCAATATCTTGTCTTCATTATTACTACAGTCACCTTCGAAAATCCCTAGATACTTCTTTCTTAGGGCTTATCATAAGGAACAAGAAGAACGAACGAGAAGAAGGCACAAGAAACCAAGGATTAAATAAGTTTAGATATATAGTATATAAGTGTATACTTTTAGGTTATCTTAGATTAGGGATATAGATATATAGGAATATTACACCTAGAGATATAGAAAGAGTCTATATCTTATATCTATCCAAGTAAAATATTATTGAGATTTCAACAAGAATTACTGTTATCAGAAACACATAACCTCAGGATTATTAACGAATAATGGTGTCATCAATAACCAATAGATTCTACGGCATATCTACTGGATTAAATTCAAAGGTATTATCTTCAATAATTTTCTCATAGATAGGTAAAGTCACTGGTAAGGAAAGTGTTTATCTAATTAATTCAAAGGCTATGCCAAATTTATTTACAGTTAAAAATCATATCAGATCTATTTTCATACAAATAACCAGGACTTAGATACTATTGAAAAAATTTTTTAGCAAATAGCTGTACTTTCATTATGTTCTAGCTAAACTACTTTTACAACATTAGCCTATTCTCTATACTATTAAGCTTGTCAATAGCGACAGCTCTTTATTATCAGAATACTGAAATTATTGTACTGATTACTTTAGTTCCATCCGCTTTGTATACCACCACCACTGGTAATATCTCTACTTTAACCACAATTACATCAATTTATGCTTCCACACTAATACGAAAATGAATCTTTTTCAGTAGATATTGTTGTTATTGTTGTCACTCCATCTCTCTCTAGCACCAACACCATTCACTATTAGTGGAAAGTTCACTAACAATGAGAACTAACCAACACCTAGCTGTTGCAAAGCATCATTTGCGGTTGTTATTAGACCTACAAGAAATAATATACACATCACAGAATATAGCCGGTATTGTTGTTATTATTCCTGTTTCTAGTTTGTTAAATTGGATACTATTGGTTACTAAAGTAGTTTGAACACTGCCCTTTGTTAACCCAAAACAGTAGTAATGCATGATATATTGTTGCTAGATGTTGGTTGGTTTTCATTGTTAGTGGATATTTTAACTATAGCCACGGTGTAGATGATAGATTAAGACGGAGTAACAACAACAACAATAACATTGACTGGTAAAGATTTGTTGTTGTCTGTAACTGTAGTAGTCTAGATTAATATAGTTGTGGGTACTCCAACTTCATTAAGAATCTTTAAGGATTCAGAAATTTTTGTGTCATATCTAACATACAGGAAATCTACAATTTTTTGTAAAAAAAACTGAAACTGCTTAAGGTGACACTTCAATGGTTTTAAGTTCAGTAGTTTGCAAAGTTACAAAAACCATAATTTATTTTCTAGAACTATTCCAGAACAATTGTGATTACCATTATTGAATGTAATGGTATTGAACCTGTTCATAATAAAAAATAGGACTAAAAAGAAGAAATCAACTTATTTTTACAGAACACCTATGTCTTTAATCAGTGAACTCATTAGATTTATAATTCATATATGTCGTTCTTTTTTGTTTGTATATAGTATATGTTAGAACATAGACAGTATGTTTATTAAGTTTCTTTATTAAAGACTGTTTTATTATGTCGTTAATAATAATAATTAAAAGAGAAAAATATTTTTCAAGAAGAAAAATTTTAAGAAAAAAAAATTTTAAGAAAAAAAAATTTAAAGAAAAGAATCAAAAGAAGAAAGATCAATTTGTATAAATCATACTATATAATTATATACATTACTTTAATATGTTTTTAATAAACCAGAGATCCAATTTACTAATAAGTTAAGTCATGACTGTATTAAATACAAACACCACGACTTTCCAAGAAATAAAACGCTGTGTCATACAGTAAGCAATATGTTACCACTCCAAACAACCAGTGTCTCATCTTTAGTCATAAAAAATATTTCTTACTAATATACTAAATACTGTTTTTTATTTGATAGTACTCTAGTAATAATTGGTTTGAACTCGAATAGAACATTATGAAATCGCTATACTGATGTTTTTTATCATATAAATTTCACGAACCCTCATTAACTCTTACTTTAAACTCTATTTGGACTACAACAAAAATATCTTTTATAGATATTTCTGCTGGAATGATATATTACTGGTTTGAGAAACATGTAATTATATCAAAGAGGAAAAATGTTTGTTTTGCACAATCAATATTACAGAGACAAGACCAAACAGAATCAAAATAAATTAATATATTATGAAAAATTGCCAAAAGGTAAACACATATAAGTAGACGACTTTACTTATTAATTTTGCAACCTGGATAAATTACGTTATATTGTATGCTTCTTTTACATTTATATAATTATTAATTCCAAAATAAGAGATCGAGGGGAAATTACTCTACATATTGACATCACAATGACATATAATATGATCACCAACGCTAAAGACATGTATACTAATATTATTCATCCAAAAGAAACACGATCCTGTTTAATACATGTATTGTTTCTATCCAAATATTATGAAGATGCAATAGCAATTCTTACTAATCAACACTATCTGCATGGCGAATTTTCACTAACCAAAATACAACTTGGAATTATTGTAATTTTCTGAAAAACAGAATGAAGAATTTTTATATTTCCAGAAAAGTAACATCTACACTTGTAATGTGAATTCAAATTAGTTGTGCTATATCAAAATAAAAAATTGGGAGTATTAGAAAAAATTGAAATTTCTTTGAAAATTTTTCTCATCTATTATTGTTTATATTTAGCTAACTCAAATTATTCTTTTTTTTCATGAAAGATTTTTTTGTTGTTTGAAAATCTATTGTTCGTTCCAGTAAAACAGAAAAACATCCTCTTGTCATGTAAACACACATTCAGACCAATTACCACAGAAACCTCATTTCACTTTTCAATTATTCTGTAATAACAAAAGCAAAGAAAACTTTTGGCAAAAGTAAAAATACTTAATACTAATTTCTAACCAGTTAAATTTTGTCTACATTTGGACAATTTTTTATCTGATTGTTTAACTTTTTTAGGGTAAAAAATCACAACAAGTTTGATTGTTCAACTCTTCTTCTATCAAACGAGGGATTGAATATAGTTTTGCAACTCGACAAAGAAACTAATTTTCTGCTTGAACCCATATCAAGATGAATTAATTATATTTTCCTGTTTTAATATGAATATATTAAGTAAGTAGAAAAAACAAGTTATTATCTTCTTTAAGAAGGTTATTCTTCAGTATTTATCTAATTTATAGCATTTATTTGTTGGAATGTACTTTGTTTAATTCCACAAGCAAAATAACCAACAAAGTTTATTTCTTTTTTCAGTTAGCAATCATCCTAGAGTGATTGTTGTTATTTTTTGTCCCAAGGACTTGTGTTTGGTTTTATTTTTTAAATTGTAAGTCAATTCTTTACAAAAGCCATAGAACTTTAGGGTTGTTTTTAAATTGTCATTTTTAGACATATCACGAAACTTAGGAATAAAAATACCTCATTTCAGTTACTAACAGAAATATTCCTAAATACTAGTACAAGAAGATGCTTTGGACAACAATAAATCCCATAATCTAAAAAAAAAACATGCTTAAAAATAGTTCATTGTATACTATCTATTATAGTCATTTCATTCAACCACCAATTGGCAAACAAAAAACAAAAAGAAAAGCTCTGTTATCAAGTCTTGCTATTTTGAAAAGATACAAACTTCCTATCATCCTTTGACCTAGTATAAATAAACAACATCATAACAATAGGTCGAATATAATAATAATCATCTTTTTTTCTTGTTTGTCTTAAAATTAAACCAAATAGCTATCATTAAACGACATTGTAAAAGATTTTAAGGATTCCACAAGGTATACGTCATTTTTTCTAGTTCAATAGTACTCTTGCATGTCTTACATATTGTGTATCCGAAAAGGAGAAAAAATACTCCACCTAAATGGAGAATTTTGAATTTTACAAATTATATTGTTCTTATACTAGATCGGAAAAAAGAGAAAAAATCAGGAATAGGAATATCACACTAAAAAGTCTAATTGAGATCCAAATCTGCCAGGAGAATAATTATATTTTAGATCTTTATCATAATAGATGTTCTAATAGAACAATAATAACTTTAAATAATAAATTCTTGGTTAACAAAAGAACAATTTTACTACATTTGTTGAATATTATAAAAAATATTACTACATGCTAACGTCATATAAGGTGCTGATTCTTGCAATACGAACTAAAAAAAGAAAAAAAATTGTTGATGGTTCTTATAGTGTATAACTTTATATAACTTATGTATAAACAGTAACAATGCAATAAAAATTCTTTACCCCTTTTTTAAATTATACATTCCTATTCGATCCCACGGTCACTGCCAAAAATTTTAATATTCTATTGTGAATGAAGTAATAAATTTTGTACATTCTATAGATCGATTTACTATAGAATATTGTGATATATACAAAAAAGAGATATAAATGCCAAATAACTAATTAATCAGGGGCGATGATCCTGTAAGAGTGGGGATTCTCTAAAATAATTCAGGGGCAAAAATTTAAAAATAGAATACAAAGAGACATGTATATCTATAGTGTGGTTAGAATTGTCTGTATTATCTCTTTTCCCACTTGTGTAATTTTTTTCTTCACTTTTATTCTTTTTGTCGTTGCATCAAATACAAAGACGAGTGTTTCCAACACAATAGCAAAAAGGAAAAAAACTATTTGTCCATTCTTAAATTTGTAAACTTTCCCTTTTATGTTCTTCAAAAGTAAAGTATCTAGACAAAACTGATTCTATTGTTCTGCAATGTGAAAATGCCCAAACAATAAACAATATTTTTAATTCTCCATTTGGAAATGTTTTCGAGAACTCAACATTTTCTGTTTCCTTTTTTGTTTAAAGAAACTACCACACAGTGATATTTTTCCTATTAGAGATAATAAAATGATCAGCTATGCTGTGTTTTTGTGCTTTACTTAGATTTTTAGTCCAATTGTTGAAGATTACAGATCTTTTTCTTCATTCTTTGTTTCTACTCCTTTACACACTTTTATCATTGAAGATTTATTGCAAAACTTTATTTATATTTTATTCTGGTTCAGTCAAAAATTTAGAACCTATTAGACAATCATTTTTATTGCAAGTCATGAGCACATTTTTATATAAAACTACTATGGATTATGTCTGAATATTCTTTCGTTTCTTGCTTCTCTTCTTGCAGGCATGAGCATCATCTCGTTATACTCCCAGATGCTACCAGTATAACCGAACTAAGTGAATCACCTCAAATAACCAAAAAACTAACGCCATAAAGTATACTCACCAAACTATATATTTTACTGAAAAGTCAATAATTCCGAATATTTGAAAATAATATAATGGTCTCAAGTGCCTTATCATTGTGCGCGGCACTGCTTTTAGCTGCTTTTTCTGCTGTATCGAAGGCACAAACATCTTATTACATTTCTATTTATACTGAAACAATTCCTAGTTATTCGCAACCGCAAGTATCTTATATTACTAGTTATCTTGGACCGACTACTCACGGTGGTAAGGGTCCTATTGCCACAGTGGACGGATGGCCTGTGAATAATCCGTATAATGCATCTAAGGATGCTCGTTGTATGTTGACTCCAGAACAAAAGGCGGCTGTTTTGGACCTAATGAATAAGTACAGATCTATGTTTGTCGACACTCCTAATTTGACCTGGTCTGATACTTTAGCCCAACGGGCTGCGTGGTGGGCTTGCGAATTTAATGTCAAGACGTCTGTTTTTCAAGACGCTCCCGATTACGGCTACTTTATTGGTTCAAACTTTTACGCGGGACCTGGTCCTCTGACCAGCGGTGTAGACGCCTGGTTTGATGAAATTAATGATTATAATTACAGCGATCCTTACCTTTTGCCTTACTTACATAATGGACATTTTACACAGCTTGTTTGGAAATCCACCACGGAGGTTGGTTGTGGTGCGCAAGAATATTGGCCCGGTGTTGATGGTTTGCCTAGTCGATATTTTTTTGAGTGTGAGTTCATACCTCTTGGTAATGATTATGGTAAATACCATGAAAATGTCATGCCTCTGAAACCAGCTTATGCAACTCTTCAGTTCCCAACACTTTACTGGGTAACCGCCCCCGTAAATTGGACATCTATATCTCTATATGAAAAAACACATACTGTAGCTCCAATTACTATAACTCCGACATCAAATCCTAACCCTGTTTACACAATACCTCCTGGAGAGTGGTCAGGCTTCTTTCCATCAACGGCCCAGTTTACTTATTTAAGTGCCACTGACAGTCCAACTACCACTGCAACAACATCTACCTCGAGCAACAGTCATGCTTCTGCTGTGAATACTACTAACAGATCAACCTCCACTGCAACAACAACTACTTCAACCAACACTCATGGTTCTGCTATTGATGCTACTCACAGATCAACCATCATTTCTAAAAAATCTACTTCAATCAGTCATAGTTCTGCTATGGATGCTACTGACAAATCAACCATCACTTCTAAGAAATCGACTTCAAGCAATAGTAATGGTTCTGTTATCGATGCTACTGACAGATCAATCATCACTTCTAAAAAATCTGCCTCAATCAGTCATAGTTCTACTATTGATGCTACTGACAAATCAACCATTTCTGAGAAGTCTACCTCTAGCAATAGTCATGGTTCTATTATGAATACTACTGACAGATCAACCACCATTTCTAAAAAATCTACCTCAATCAGTCATAATTCTGCTATTGATGCTACTGACAGATCAAGTACCACTTCTAAGAAATCTACTTCAAACAGTCGTGGTTCTGTTATTGATGCTACTCACAGATCAACTGCCACTTCTAACAAATCTACCTCAAACAGTCATAGTTCTACTATGGATGCTACTAACAGATCAACCACCACAGCAACAACATCTACTGATTATACTAAATATGCGTTGACTCCAGAAGAACAGGCTGCTGTTGTTCTCGCACACAATAAGTTGAGAGCTTTGCATGTTGATACTGGTAATTTGACCTGGTCTAATACTTTAGCTGTATATGCTGAGAAGTATGCTGCCGTTTATGATTGTTCTTCTGGTAGACTTGTGCACTCTCATGGTCCATACGGTGAAAACCTTGCCCTGGGATTTCCTAATGCAGTCGCTGCTGTGGACGCCTGGTATAGTGAAATTGCTCATTATAATTACAGCCATCCTGGCTTTTCCATGGCAACTGGACATTTTACACAGGTTGTTTGGAGATCCACCAAGGAGGTTGGTTGTGCTGTAAAATATTGTGGCACCTATTACCGTGATTATGTTGTTTGTGAGTACGCACCTCCTGGTAATTATGAAGGTGAATTCCCTGAAAATGTCATGCCTTTGAAAGCATCTGTTTCAAGTAGTACTTCCAGTAAACCTAAGTCATCCTCTACCCCTTCTGCTACTTCGAAGAAATCTATCTCAAGCAACAGTAATGGTTCTGCTATTGATGCCACTGACAGATCAACTACCACTGCAACAATATCTACTTCAAACAGTCGTGGTTCTACTATGGATGCTACTCATAGATCAACTACCACTTCCAGCAAATCTACCTCTAGCAACAGTAATGGTTCTACTATACATGTTACTGATAGATCAACCACCACTGTAACAACATCTACTTCTAGCAACAGTAATGGTTCTGTTATGGATGCTACTGACAGATCAATCATCACTTCTAAGAAATCTACCTCGAGTAACAGTAATGGTTCTGCTGTGAATACTACTAACAAATCAATTGCCACTTCTAACAAATCTACTTCAATCAGTTATGGTTCTGCTGCGAATACTACTAACAGATCAACCACCATTTCTAAGAAATCTACCTCAATCAGTTATGGTTCTACTATTGATGCTACTGACAGATCTACCACCATTTCTAAGAAATCTACTTCAATCAGTCATGCTTCTGCTATGAATATTACTGACAGATCAATCATCACTTCCAAGAAATCTACTTCAAGTAACAGTAATGGTTCTGCTATGGATGCTACTGACAGATCAACTACCATTTCTAAAAAATCTACCTCAATCAGTCATGGTTCTACTATTGATGCTACTGACAGATCAACCATCACTTCTAAGAAATCTGCCTCAAACAGTCATAGTTCTACTATGGATGCTACTAACAGATCAACTACCACTTCTAAAAAATCTGCCTCTAGCAACAGTCATAATTCTACTATTGATGCTACTAACAGATCAACTACCACCTCTAACAAATCTACTCCAATCAGTCGTGGTTCTGGTATCAATGCTACTGACAGATCAACCATCACTTCTAAAAAATTTACCTCAAGCAACATTCATAGTTCTACTATGGATGCTACTAACAGATCAACCATCACTTCTAAAAAATCTACTTCAAACAGTAATGGTTCTGCTATGGATGCTGCTCATAGATCAACTACCACTGCAACAACATCTACCTCGAGCAACAGTCGTGGTTCTGCTATGGATGCTACTGACAGATCAACTACCATTTCTAAAAAATCTACCTCAATCAGTCATGGTTCTACTATTGATGCTACTGACAGATCAACCATCATTTCTAAGAAATCTACTTCAAACAGTAATGGTTCTACTATTGATGCTACCGACAGATCAACCATCACTTCTAAAAAATCTACTTCAAGCAACAGTAATGGTTCTACTATGAATACTACTGACAGATCAACTACCATTTCTAAAAAATCTACCTCAATCAGTCATAGTTCTGTTGTTGATGCCACTGACAGATCAGCTACTACTGCAACAACATCTACCCCAAGCAACAGTAATGGTTCTGCTATTGGTGCCAGTAGTAAGACACATGCTGCTGGTGAAGCTGCATCTGCTAAAACAAATGTTGCTCACTCCGTCACAACCGCTATTGTTGAGAGCACACGCATGGTAGATGTCACTGAATGTCCAATTTGCTCACTATCCACCGCTACCACTTCGTTTTCTTCCCAAAACGGTCAAACTGTCCTACATGGTGAACCAGTGTTGAGAGTTAGTACAGTTTATACTACAGACGGTGTTGTTATCACTACATACACTCCTTCATGTCCAGAAAGTGCTAAGACAGGTTCTGTTACAGCTTCTGCTGCTACCACTACTGCACATTCAGACATAAGCATGGAATCTGCCCATGCCAATGTTGTTCCATCTGTAAGTGTTGCTACTTCTGCTTCTAATTCTGCGGAAAGTGTTACAGCTGCAAAATATGAGGGTTTGGCAGCTAGTTTGACCTCAGATGTTCTATTCAGCGCTATTTTAATGGCTCTTATTCATTTGATCTAATTATGATACTGTTTTAGAGAGGCATTTGAACTTGTACTAATAATTGACAGACGCTGTAATATATCATTTATGGTGATTGTCTGATGTTAGTATAAAAAATTACAGCACCTGTTGATTATTAGTACAAGTACAAATGCCTCTCTTTTTTATACTAACCTCGGTTTTATTTATTTACTTTTTGTATAAAATATTTTTTTTAAATATAATTTATTTACAGAACACTTTTAGTTGGTCTAATTTATTTTTACTTAAAAATATTGAATCTTGTCCTACTACTACGAGCATGGCCTTAGTAGTTTACTTCATTCTCATCATCATGATGCCTTCTTTTCTTTACCTAAAAAGCATGACTACAGGGGTTGTATAAGTTATTGACCTTCTTAAATACAACTTTATGCGTCTCAAGGACGATATTTTTTTCATTTCAGTTGTGAAGAATACGTCACTATCTATATGGAATCCTTCAATGCTATCGTAGAGACCAAATATCTGAAGATCCTACTGAAATATATCAATGATCATATTTGATACTCTAAAGAGACAATATAAAACAATCAAACTACTCCAATAGATGTGAAAATGAAAAGATCTGTATCTTTGAATCAAATACTGAATGGGAACCCTATATCTAAGAGAACTAAGCTGAATGGGAGTAAAGTAAAAGGAATATCGAAAGACCCAGAGACTGTCGACCTTGTGGAACTACCTGAGCAGGTAGACCTCAATAACGTTCAAACAAATAAACCAAAAATTATTCCACTTGGTGATAATCTATCCAGCGTCTTGGTGAAGACATTTCTAATGAGGAAACCACCAAAGTTACTAAATATTATAGGAATGTACTTCCTGGGAGTATAATTAATTATTAATCTAATGGTAGTGTATATTTTAAGTAAGATTGCCAATATAGCAAGTAACAAATACACACCACTGATTATTAACAGCTTATTGTAAATCTAACTACGTATTATAAGAATCCAACTTTTAGTTATGATGTATTGTGTGAAATAAATAATATCAAACTGTCATTATATATACTTGAAATGTTTACATCTAATTATATCCTAAGACTTAATAAAATATACAAAATAATAGAAATATAATATACACCCATTAGTTTTTAATATTTCACTTTGTATTATCTTTTCCAAAAACTATGTCATTAAATATTATTCATTTGTAAGTATTAATAGTATTATGTGAAAAATTTTGGATGTTGTAATATATAAATTATTTAAACGCATTAATAAAGGTTGGATTTCATATTTATTTAATGGTGAACTAATAAATTTTAGAATTCTATTTATTATGATATAGCAATAAAGATTCTAGATATATATAATATTATAACCATAGGTAAGAAAAGTCTCTCTGTTATTTTATTTGTAAAATAATATCCACTAGCTTTTGCCTTATTTTCTTTTTATTTAATTATTAGTATACTTATCAAAACTGTTGAATAATAGGCAGATAATCACTACTTTTTTATTTAAAAGTGATTTTTGTAGATCATTAAAACAACTTTTTGAAGAAAATATTTCAAGAAAAAGAAATAGTGAAGGATCAATGTGTGTTTGTTTATAAACACCATATATATTTTCTGCATAGTTTTTAATAAAATGGAGATCCAATTTGTCTAAGGCTCAAGTAATAGAAATGTTAGATATAAAATTCATTATTGTCTAAGATAAACCAACTATCTTCAATACTACTGTGCTAATCATCAATTCTATCATATGTGTTAAAATATAACTCCACATAAGTTATTGTCTCTATGGAACCTGATTTAAGTTTAACTTGCTAAAGTTAGCATCAATACAACACTGCCAATCTTTATCATTTATCAAAATATTTCAGTTGCAATAGATGCTAAAGCCTAGAAATTATTTGCATTCACTTATTTGGCATTTTTAACTATAATAACGTAGTCGAATTTAAGATTGCATAATTTCATGGTAAATAGTAGTTTTGTTTTCGAATCTTGCAATTTCCTTTTTGACATTTATGCAACTGGCACAAATATGTTGTTTTAGACTACTTTTGTGCATGACATCTTGCCTGTTGTTGTTTGGAACAAACATTGAGAAATTTTCCTTTAAACGACCACATAATAGCAAAATAAAAATTGGTTGAGGGCAAAACAGAAATATCTCACTCACATGAAACTTTCTACTTGCTTTCATCGTAAAATGGGCTAATAGATGTTTCCAAACAAGCAGAGGTAATTATAATACTATAAACGTTTTAATTATGAATTTTAATTGTGATTTGACATCAAGGGGGAATATGCTATAGCTATTGTTTCAATAATTCATGGTATTTATTGTTTTTGTTTCAAATGGATTGGAAAATTCTAGTGGATACCAAGTTTGTAATTTCTTTGAAAACTAATATGGTGTTGTTGAGAAGAATAGCCAGTCAATACGTAAGCTAAAGTTTTTTAAGACGATCCATAGTAGATAAAGTTGTTTATGTTAAATGTTTTATTTTCACTTCGAAAGAAATGCATTTTTTCATTACTTCAGCGCAAGAAAAACAGTTTTTTTTTCTGTTGTTTTTGATCAGAAAAATTTGGACATTCATTTTTTTAATCGTATTAGATGTTGATGTTATTGCATCAATGTTTTTATGTAGTATTAGGAAGTGAATCATTTCTTCTAGTTTGGAATGTATGCAATCCGCAACCTATAAGAAGTAGTTGATTCATTATTGTATAAATATTTATTATAGTTAACAGAAATAATGCCCAAAACATACTCATTATGATATATACAAAATCTTTTGACCCATAGGAATTTAGTATAACAAGAGATTGTCGTATCCTGTATTATATAAAAAAAATGAAGTTCATAGAAATGAAATTGTAAGTTCAAATTGATTTATCCCAAGCATATTTCTAATTAGTATTCAATTAATAGGGAAAATTGATACAGTCATTTATGAGATTCTTTTATATTATTACAGTTGAATATCAGATATCCAGAGATCTTTAAAAAAACAAAAAACACTTCTAACAGATATAAGTAAACATCTTTTATATTATGTTATAAAGCATATTGTCCTAAGAACATATTTTAATTCATTGAAGAGCAAAAGCTCTAATTCTAATGATAATAAGAAAATGTTTACATAACTACGAAACCATCAAAATTTTCATGCTTTATAAATTTGAGGAGGTATTAGAAGTATTGTTTTAGAAACATAGTGAAAAGCAAAAATTAATTACGGTACAGTATCTTGGAGAGACATAGTAACGACGTTAATATCGGTGAGTATATTTATTCTTTTAGAGGCAAAAAGAAAATTAAAACAATTCAAGTGTATATTGCTATTGTTATTTTAGGAATACTAAAAAGATTTAATAGATTTATAACAAATCACAAAACTGAATAATACTCAGATAAATGTAAGTTAGCTATATCTTGAATTGAATTTGGTGCTTTTACGTATAATAGAGATGTTTTAATAATTACTAGCGACTAAGGATATTTATTTATTAGAGTCCTTTTCAAGTTTTAATTGCCAAGTATACTAAGGTTAATTTACACTTAACAGAGATATAGGACATCAATATTCCTTAAATTTGGTAATTTTCAAAATTCAAAGTAAAAATGTTGTTCCTTTCGTTTAATTGCTTATTTTTAATAACAAATTTTCATATTGTAGTATCCAAATTACCATAAAATATTTGTAGTTTTATGTTACAATTGTAAAATTTAGTAAGCTATCATCTTCAATATATGGCTCAAAAGAGATTTTATCTTTCAAATTTATTGTTAAAACCACTCTTTTGTCCAAGTGTTAATTTAGCAGTGAAGACTACTCGCTGTAACTTGTGTTTATTCTGTATTTGAATGATTATTCATGTGTAATATTAGAAATCTCTGCTACTTTATTGATAATATCGCCCCATTAGTATAAAATTTATCTTGAAAAAAGTTTTGTTGTGTTTTTTATTGCATATAATGCCTAAGTGTATCACTGATTATTTGAAGACAATATCATATTAATATAATTAATGATAATATTTGAAAATCTAAAAAAAATAAAATGGTCTATATTTACACAGATGTATTCTTCAGAAATATTATTGTTATGATAAATTGTTTTGTTATTTCATAATTAGCATTGCTATAAAAAAGGTATATTCGACATATTTGTTGTATGTTTGATTGAGTTTCTTTATATTATTCATAATGATTGTGTTTTCTAAGGATTTTGACAAATCCAGAAGATTTTAGAATGATTTATTGAAAAGCAGAAGCATGACTACTATTATTACAACAGTCCCACATAACCTGTTTTGATCTATATGAAAGAAAATCGAAGACAGGTATCCTTGGAAAACGAAGTGATTTGTAGTAATTGTTGGATGTCTGTTTCAAAAATATAATAATAGAAAACACTCTATCATTAAAACAGATTTGGCTAGCAGGGGTCTTAACAAAAGTAATTAATTGGGAAGTTTTCTGAGATATTTATTTATGTTTATTTGGTGTTTTATTATCTAACCCATGTGAAATTCAAGATTGAAAGGACTAATCTCTGTCTCTTCAAAAGAAAAATGGCTACCTACAACAGGATTCCAGTAGTTGTGTAATTTAAGGATTTTACATGTCCCATTAAAGATTTTGCTTTCTTTTACAAGTCGAAAAATTTTTTTTCTCTGACTGCAGATATTTTTCGTGAGATTTAGCTCGAAAGCCGTTGACAATAGAGTAAAAATTATTATGACAAAAACACTACAGCTTTATTCCAAAAAGGGAAATGTCCATTAAAAAAAGCTTAGATTTTGTTTTGTTTTTCCGAATTCAGTGGATAGAATTTCTTCGAGATCGCATTGTTATTCAAAGTTGCAAATATTTGAAAAAAGAAGAACTGTTAAAAGGAGTCCTAATGGAGGAAGATAGACTAGGTACGTAAGTCTTCCTCCTTGTTGTAGCATGTAACAATCCTGTTTAAGGCTAGATAGTAGAGTTAACATTACAGAAAAAACTCAT